GGTGAGACACAGGTCTCTGGGCTGTGCAGGGGGAGAACAGGAGAGATGCGGGGCCATGCACAGGCCTCTGGGCAGTGGTGCTTGAGCTGTGGGCCCTAGGCTGCTTGTGTTTGGGGAGCCGATAGCACGGCCCTGGCATACGTACTGGTGGCAGATGGGGGGCGATTGCAAGGCTGGACACAGCTACAACTACTATAGGGGGGAGGGGTACTTCAAAGTGATAGCACTGCTGAAAGCCGGGGGCCAGACCCCAGGCTCCACGCAGTACTGCTGGTCTGAAACACCACGTGCAGCCCAGAGCCAGCTGGGGTGTCCCCAGGCTGCATTTTTCATCGACTATTCGCTTAGTTGATAGGGCACCTCCACCTTGGAAGCCTGGAGTCAGCTGGGCATCCCCTGCTGACCCCGGGCTCCGTGTGGCGCTGCTGCTTTGAAACGCCACAGGGAGCCCAGCGTCAGGCTCGCTGCGAGGTTTCAAAGCGGCAGGGTTGCATGAAGTCCAGTGTCAGCGGGGGAGTCCCAGTGTCAGCAGGGGAGTCCCAGGGTCAGGCACCCTGTGAGGTTTCAAAGCGGCAGGGCTGCATGGAGTCCAGGGTCAGCGGGGGAGTCCAGGGTCAGCAGGGGAGTCCCAGGGTCAGGCACCCTGTGAGGTTTCAAAGCGGCAGGGCTGCATGGAGGCCAGGGTCAGCGGGGGAGTCCCAGGGGCAGGCTCCCCGCGAGGTTTCAAAGCGGCAGGGCTGCATGGAGGCCAGGGTCAGCGGGGGAGTCCCAGGGGCAGGCTCCCCGCGAGGTTTCAAAGCGGCAGGGCTGCATGGAGGCCAGGGTCAGCGGGGGAGTCCCAGGGGCAGGCTCCCCGCGAGGTTTCAAAGCGGCAGGGCTGCATGGAGGCCAGGGTCAGCGGGGGAGTCCCAGGGGCAGGCTCCCCGCGAGGTTTCAAAGCGGCAGGGCTGCATGGAGGCCAGGGTCAGCGGGGGAGTCCCAGGGGCAGGCTCCCCGCGAGGTTTCAAAGCGGCAGGGCTGCATGGAGGCCAGGGTCAGCGGGGGAGTCCCAGGGGCAGGCTCCCCGCGAGGTTTCAAAGCGGCAGGGCTGCATGGAGGCCAGGGTCAGCGGGGGAGTCCCAGGGGCAGGCTCCCCGCGAGGTTTCAAAGCGGCAGGGCTGCATGGAGGCCAGGGTCAGCGGGGGAGTCCCAGGGGCAGGCTCCCCGCGAGGTTTCAAAGCGGCAGGGCTGCATGGAGGCCAGGGTCAGCGGGGGAGTCCCAGGGGCAGGCTCCCCGCGAGGTTTCAAAGCGGCAGGGCTGCATGGAGGCCAGGGTCAGCGGGGGAGTCCCAGGGGCAGGCTCCCCGCGAGGTTTCAAAGCGGCAGGGCTGCATGGAGGCCAGGGTCAGCGGGGGAGTCCCAGGGGCAGGCTCCCCGCGAGGTTTCAAAGCGGCAGGGCTGCATGGAGGCCAGGGTCAGCGGGGGAGTCCCAGGGGCAGGCTCCCCGCGAGGTTTCAAAGCGGCAGGGCTGCATGGAGGCCAGGGTCAGCGGGGGAGTCCCAGGGGCAGGCTCCCCGCGAGGTTTCAAAGCGGCAGGGCTGCATGGAGGCCAGGGTCAGCGGGGGAGTCCCCCACTGACCCCAGGCTTCCAAGGCAGAGGTGCTCTATCGACGAATCAAACAGTCGATTAGTCGGTTACCCGATACTTAAGAGAATACAACTGCCCTCCCGCCTCTGGGGGGGGGGGGGGGGCAGGGCCCCTTTTCTGGCTTGCCCTCCAGTGATTTGTACAGGCTAGTTCTAAACAGCCCAAGTGAAAGGGCTTCCCTGGGCAGGCTGCCCACCGCCCTTGCTCTTCCTGAGGCTTGGTGTCTGCTTGGAAGCGGCAGCAACACAAGGCCCCCAGCCACAGACCTGAAAGCGGATCCAGTGGTGCTGCCAAAGCCAGAGCAGACCCGGCGATGCGGACGGAAAGGTGCTTCTCAGGGCGGAGGTGCCCCTGCACCGAGAGAACAGCCCCTTTCCCTCGGCGTCGGCTGCATCTACACCGCGGGCCATGCTGACACAGGCGGACGTTCCGTCAGCCTACATTTCCCCTGGCTCAGAGATCCCCCAGACAGGAAGCTGAGCCTCCCAGCTCTTCAATCCCAACACCTCAGTCTGCCTGCAGAGGGTGGCCACCGATTCCCTGCGTCTTCTGAGGGTTTTCAGGTCGGTTCCTCCTTTCCCACCATCGATTGCAAAGACAGCTCAGTGCAGAAGCCGGCCGCTGCTCAAGCACAGGCTACTGCTGAGGCCAGCGTGTAGGCCAACGGAACATCCAGTGATGCCAGCACGAAGTTACGAGGTGCGAGCCGCCAGAACCAGAAGACAGGGCAGAGGAAGTCAGAGACCAGTGAAATAAAAAATGCCCTTCCCTGCTCCCCGGCAAATCTTGGAAACGCTGGGAACAACTCCCCACGAAGAAGATCCTGCAGCCCAGCTGGTGGAGGGACTGAGCAGGACCACTGAGGAAACAGGCTCCTGTCGGGTGAATGCACAGCCCCTGAGACTCTGTGCCGCAGCCACTTCTCGAGATACTCCGAGTGCCGTAAGATCTCCTGCCCCTTCTCCCTCCCACTGCGCCAGGCTGCCTGGGCAGGCCCCGGTTCGTCTGACCCCCCAGGCTGAGAACGGGAGCAGGCGGGATCCCGAGGGGCAGGAGTGAGATCGAGCCGCGCCCCGGGACACAAGGGTGCCGTGCTGGGAAGGAGCGGAGTCGGTGGTGCTGATCGCAGGCCATGCCTTGTTGGAGGCGTGGGGCAGGGGCTCGTGCCGCCCTCTGTCTCCACCTCCTCCGGAGCAGCAGCTAGACATCCTGCCCTCTGCTGCATGGAGAGGAGATGCTCTTTGGGCCATTCCGCCAGTGCTGGCTCCGCAGGGGCAAAATTCCAGCCCTGGGGCTGAACCCTGCTGCCATCTTCTGGCTTCCTGGTTACCCGCCAGCATCCCGGGCCACGTCCATGGTGGTGCCTGGCCAGGTGGCCCTGCAGAGCAGCATTTCATCTCCCTGTGCTCCCCATGGGCCTCTCGATGAACAGTTCATATGGCCACCAAGCCACAAGGCCTGAGCAAACGGGCTCCGGGACGGTCCCGGCAGCCATGACACACGTCAGGAAGGCCCAACGCAAACAGATCAGCTACTGGAAAATCACCTTCTTCATCTGGTGCCATCTAGCGCTTCTCGCTATCCACCGCAGGGCAGAAAACAGCCTGCTGCAGGCGCTGGCTCATCGGATCCATGGCGCCAGTGTCTGCGGCAAAGAGTCAGCAGCACCTGCCTTGCAGGAGTGCGTTTCGAATAGCAGTCCTGGGAAGCCCGGGCTGAGAAGTGCTTCATTTACAGAACAAAGAGGCAGCTAGGGTGGCCAGGTGTCTGGTATTGGCCACTTGCTGAGTCCAGACAAAACTCGCTGTGACTGCAGTTTGCTTCCCTGGGTAAAAGCCAAGCAAGGAGCTCAGGGTCTGGCCCCCAAAAAAGACTGTGCCTATTAAAAGGTAGCCGTTCTCTGCACATGCGCAGGCATGTAGGAGGGGCCGGGGGAACACACTGCCAATCACACCTATGGCCTCCAAGTGCACAGCGAGGATGTGCCAATGGCACTTGGAGGTGCTGCATTCATTTTCGGTCAGTCATGTCAAGAGCAATTCACTTCATTTACAAAGCCAAAGGCAGCTCTTCACTCGCAAGGTCTGAAAACTGAGCTGCACCTGCAGGTTTGCTCCGTGTGGCCAGCGCTGCCCGAGGCATGGATCGTATTCAGCTCTGCATGGCTGTAGCGGCACTGCAGGGCAAGCCTCGGACCAGTCCCTCACGTAGGATACGGCCTGAAGACGCAGAGGGAGCAGCGCTGCTGAGTATCGTTTTGCCGTTTTCACATTCACTTTTCTGTGGAGCAGGAACCTTGCTGCACCCTGACCCCTCTGACAACACAAATTACCACCCGACTCCAGGAGGGGGCCCACCTGCGCTCTGCCACCCTAGGCAGGGGCCTATAACCCAGGGCTAACGCCCTCAGGTTCCGTCTTCGGCCCCAGGCGGCGTGGCTCAGCATTTGGCCCGGGGCCTCGCACGTCTAAGCCACCCTGGCGACCCGAGTGAAAGGGGGTTGCGACCCTCAGTCTGAGAACCCCCTGGAAGCCACGGGGCCAGCACCGGCTCTGGTCTCACCCGGTGAAGGACACGCCCGGGGTTCCAGCCGAAAGTGCACCAGGCAGCTCGGAGGGAGAGGCATTGCGTGGTCAGTTCTGCCCAGCGCTGGAGGAGCACCCGCAGCCACACAGCGCCTCTCGGCGCTTCCAGGGTCAGGCCCAAAGCACGGCCGGGTGGGAATGTCATTGGCCACAGGTTTCCAAAGTGACAGCAAGTGCGGGTGACACTCCACAGCAGCCTGGGGTGCAGACAGCGCTGGTCACCCGCCCTCTGAACATATGCCCCTTCCAGGTCTCTCGGGATGGGCAGCCAAAATTCCAGCCTCTGAAATCAGGAGACATTTCACACACACAGAATGGGAAGCGACTGTCTAGGAAGGAGCACGGCAGAAAGGGAGCTAGGGGTCACAGTGGACGACAAGCTAAATATGAGTCAGCAGTGTGATGCTGTTGCAAAAAGAGCAAACATGATTCTGGGCTGCATTAACAGGTGTGTTGTGAGCAAGACACGAGAAGTCATTCTTCCGCTCTACTCTGCACTGGTTAGGCCTCAGTTGGAGGATTGTGTCCAGTTCTGGGCACCGCATTTCAAGAAAGATGTGGAGAGACTGGAGAGGGTCCAGAGAAGAGCAACAAGAATGATGAAAGGTCTAGAGAACATGAGCTATGAGGGAAGGCTGAAAGAATTGGGCTTGTTTAGTTTGGAAAGGAGAAGACTGATCAGGGACATGATAGCGGTTTTCAGGTATCTAAAAGGGTGTCACAAAGAGGAGGGAGAAAAATTGTTCTTCCTGGTCTCTGAGGATAGGACAAGAAGCAATGGGCTTAAACTGCAACAAGGGAGGTGTAGGTTGGACATTAGGAAAAAGTTCCTAACTGTCAGGGTGGTTAAACACTGGAATAAATTGCCCAGGGAAGTTGTGGAATCCCCATCTCTGGAGATATTTAAGAACGGGTTGGATAGACATCTATCAGGGATGATCTAGACAGTGCTGGGTCCTGCCATGGGGGCAGGGGACTGGACTGAATGACCTCTCGAGGTCCCTAGTGTTCTATGATTCTGACCGGACGGGCTCAAGGGTTGATGTTCATTCGACAGCGCATCAGCCTGTCACTCAACCACCACCACGCTCCCCGTTCTCTAAAACAAGCCCCATCTCCACCAGCCTACAATGCTCTGTGCAATTCTGCTGCAGAGTCAGCAGAGGGAGCCCACGTCACAAAAAGCCCTCCTCCAGAGGTGCCCTGCCATCCCCACCGAGACACGGGAACGAGACCCAAACGGAACACGTTCCTTCCCGGGAACAGCTGCAGACCGATGGCCACAGCGAGGGGACTGGATTCAATCCATTTGGAAAGCACCTCGTAGGTCTCTGGAAAACTAATAACTGGGCTGTGGGCCTGGTACCTGAGCAAAGCTTTAAAATAGGTGAACCAGGCCTGGGCCTCCTACTGCGACCCGCATGCCCCCCGGAACTGGCTGCTTGAGCTGCCATCATGTGAAGGGAACCACTGCGGGGCCTTGTGCCGAGGCCGCCTGACACCCCTGCCTGTAACTGGCGGGAAACCACGTGCACGACTTTAAGCTGCTGCCGTCACCGCGCTCACACCTGGTCTACACCGGGGACTGTGCTGCTGAACATTAGTCAATTGGTACCACGTGCCAGCTGGTCACAAGAGGGGCATGGGCGGACTAATATATTCCCCAGATTACATTTGAAACAAACAGGCTTGGTCACAGGATCAGGTCTAACAACCAGCCCGGAACGGAGTCCAACATTCTGATTCCAGATGTGCCCCCAGCGTTGTGCTCAGATTTGAGACCCATTTTTCAAATGGGATCAGAGCCAGGCCATTTGGAGCTGAATGCCTCAGAATCTCAGAGCTGGTAGAACTGGGGCCCTAGCCCCATCCCGTTCCCAGTTCTCATGGAAGTGAAACAAATGTCTGTGTCATTCCCCAGCGAGACACCCGGACAGGAAGCTGTGTTCCAGCGCAGGAGTGACAGATGAGGGGCCAGGCTCTCTTAGGGTATGTCTACACTACAAAGTTAATTCGAACTAATAGACGTTAGTTCGAATTAACTTTGATAGGCGCTACACATGCAGACCGCTAGTTCCAACTTAATTTGAACTAGCGGAGCGCTTAATTCGAACTAGGTAAACCTCATTCCACGAGGACTAACGCCTAGTTCGAATTAAGAAGTTCGAATTAAGGGCTGTGTAGCCCCTTAATTCGGACTAGTGGGAGGCTAGCCCTCCCCAGCTTTTCCTGGTGGCCACTCTGGGCACCACCAGGGAAACTCCTCTGCCCCCCTCCCGGCCCCGGAGCCCTTAAAGGGGCACGGGCTGGCTACGGTGCCCATACCAGGTGCAAGCCTGCCAGCACCCAGCCAGCAGACCCTTCACCTGGCACAGCTCGAGCCAGCCACCCGATGCCCCCCAGGCCTCCCTCTCTTCCCGGGACCAGACTGGCGGCGC